ATGTTGGCCAGGCTGGTCTTGAACTCCTGACCTCAAGTGTCCCACCCGCTTCGGTCTCCCAAAGTGCTGGAATTACAGATGTGAACCACTGCACCCAGCCTTAATTGTATACTTTAAATGGGTGAATTGTGTAGTGTAAGAAAAAAAAAAAAAAACCTACGTAAAAAATGAGCAAAGGACCTGAAGAGACATTTTTCTAAAGAAGACATACAGGCAGCCAACAAACATATGAAAAAATGCTCAACATCACTAATCATCAGAGAAATGCAAATTTAAACTACAATGAGGTGCCATCTCACCCCAGTCAGAATGTCTGTTACTAAAAAGTCTAAAAACAACAGATGCTGGCGAGGATTCGGAGTAAAGGGACCACTTACCCGCTGTTGATGGGAATGTAAATTAGTACAGCCTGTATGGAAAACAGCATGGAGATTTCTCAAAGAACTAAAAATAGAACTACCATTCGGTCCAGGATTCCACTGAGTATCCTCCCAAAGGAAAAGACATCATTATATCCATTATATCCACCTGCACTTGTATATTTATTGCAGCACTGTTCACAATAGCAAAGATATGGAATCAACCTAAGTGTCCATCGATGAATGGAGGATAAAGAAAATGTGGTCTATATCTACGAAGATTTCATGATGAAATTGCCAAAAGCAATGCAGCAAAAGCAAACATTGACAAATGGGATCTAATTAAACCAAAGAGCTTCTGCACAGCCAAAGAAACTATCCTCAGAGTGAACAGACAACCTACAGAGTGGGAGAACATTTTTGCAATCTATCAATCTGACAAAGGTCTAACATCCAGAAGCTACAAGAAACTTAAACAAATTTACAAGAAAAAAAAAACCTTAAAAAGTGGATAAAGGACATGAACAGACACTTCTCAAAAGAAGACATTCGTGTCACCAACAAACATATGAAAAAAAAGCTCAACATCACTGATCATTGAGAAATGCATATCGAAACAACAGTGAGATACCATCTCACACCAGTCAGAATGGCCATTATTAGAAAGTCAAGAAACAGCCAGGCGCAGTGGCTCACTCTTTTAATCCCAGCACTTTGGGAGGCCGAGGCAGGCGGATCACAAGGTCAGGAGTTCGAGACCAGCCTGGCCAACACAGTGAAACCCTGTCTCTTCAATAAATACAAAAATTAGCTGGGCGTGGTGGCAGGCACATGTAATCCCAGCTACTCTGTCAGCTGAGGCAGGAGAATCACTTGAACCCAGGAGGTGGAGGTTGCAGTGAGCTGAGATCATACCACTGCACTGCAGCCCGGGCAACAGAGTCAGACTCTGTCTCAAAGAAAGTCAAAAGGCTGGGCGCGGTGGCTCACGCCTGTAATACCAGCACTTTGGGAGGCTGAGGCGGGTGGATCACAAGGTCAGGAGATCAAGACCATCCTGGCTAACAAGGTGAAACCCTGTCTCTACTAAAAATACAAAAAATTAGCCGGACATAGTGGCGAGCACCTGTAGTCCCAGCTACTGAGAAGGCTGAGGCAGGAGAATGGCGTGAACCCAGGAGGCGGAGCTTGCAGTGTGCCGAGATCGTGCCACTGCACTCCATCCAGCCTGGGCGACAGAGTGAG